AGTCGGAATCAACTTCATGGCTTTGAGTTTGGTTTTTTTTTGGTTTATCATTAATATCACACGCATGGAAATTTTACTGAAGATAATTCAAAAAGGGTTGCAGCAGTATATTGACAGAGAACTTCCAGAAATGCAAGCTGGATTCAGAAGAGGACATGGAACAAGTGATATCATTGCTGATGTCACATGGATCTTGGCTCAAGGCAAAGAATACCAGAAAGAAGTCTACTTGTCTTTTATTGACTATGCAAAAACATTCGATTGTTTGGATCATAACAGTTATGGATAACATTGAGTATAATGGGAATTCCAGAACACTTAATTGTCAAGAGGCTGTCATTTGAACAGAACAAGGGGATATTGCATGGTTTAAAATCAGGAAGGGAGTGTGTCAGGGTTGTATCCTTTCACCATACTTATTCAGTCTGTGCTGAGAAAATAATTCGAGAAGCTGGACTATATGAAGAATACAGCAGCGGGTTTGGAGAAAGACTTATTAACAACCTGCGATACATGGATGACACAATCTTGCTTGCTGAAATGGATGATGATGACTTGAAGCACTGATGAAGATTAAAGACTACAGTCATCAGTATGGATTACACCTCAACATAAAGAAAACAAAAATCTTCACAACTGGACCAATAATTACCATTAAGATAAATGAAGAAAAGATGTTGTTGTTGTTATGTGCTGTCAAGTCGTCTCCAACTCATGTAGTCAAAGATTTCCTATTATTTAGTTCCACAGTCACCATCAAAGGAAGCAGCAGTCAGGAAATCAGGTGATGTGTTGCACTGGGCAAATGTGCTGCAGAAGTCTTTTAAAGTGCTGAAAAGCACTGATGTCTCTTTGAAGACTAAGGTGCCTAACCCAAGCCATGGTGTTTTCATTCACCTCATACACATGTGAAAGCTGGACAAGTAAGGAAGAATGAAGAAGAGTTGATGCTTTTGAGTTGTGGTGCTGGCAAAGAATACTGAAAGTCCCATAGACTGCCAGAAGAACTAACAAATCTGTCCTGGAAGAAGTGCAGCAGGAATGTTCCTTAGAAGCAAGAATGGCCAGACTTTGTCTGACCTACCTTGGTCATGTTGTCAGAGGGACCATGCTTGGAGAAGGATATCATGCTTGGTAAAGTGGAGGGTCAGCAAAAAAGGGGAAGGCCCTCAACGTGATGGATTGACACAGTGGCTACAACCGTGGGCTCAGGAATAGCAAGCATTGTGAGGCTGGCACAGGACTGGACGGTGTTTTATTCTGTTGTGCGTGGGGTCACTGTGAGTCAGAGCAAACTCATTGGCACCTAACAACAACATACATAGAACATCCCAGAGACTACACAAAAAAAGGTTAATGTAACTAATAGAAGAAGTCAACGAAGTGGCAGGGTATAAGATCAACAGACAAAAATCAATTGGGTTTCTTTACACCAACAAGGAGGGCTCCGGAAGGGAAATCAAGAAATCAGAACCATTTATAATAGCCTCTAAAAGGATAAAATACATAGGAGTAAATTTAAGCAGAGATGAATACAATTTATACAAAAAAAAAAAACAACCCTAAAATATTAGTTCAAGAAACATAAAGAGATCTACAAAGATGGAAAAGCAATCCATTCTGATGGGTTGGAAAACTTAACATTGTAAAATGTCAGTACTACCAAAAGTGATCTATAGATAAAATGCAATCCTGATCCAAATCCCAACAGTGTCCTTAATGAAAGAAAAAAATTAATGTCCAATTTTATTTGGAAAGGAAACAGATCACAAATAGCTAAAGCAGTATTGAAGAAGAAAAAGTTGGAGGCTTCACCCTTCTCAATCTCAAAACTTAACTATAAACCAAAAACCAAACCCAACCCACTGCCGTGGAGTTGGATCCAACTCATAGCGATCCCTCCTTGGGTTTCCGAGGTGGTATTACTGCGGAAGTAGATTCTCCAACCTTCCCTCCAAGGAATGGTTGGTGGGTTTGAACCTCCAGCTTTCTGGTTAGCAGTCAAATCCCTTAGGCACAAAACTTACTGTACATCCACGGTAAGCAAAACAACTCGGTACTGGTTCAGTAACAGGCATACAGACCAATGGAACAATTGAGAACCCATTCAGTGGGAAAGAAACAGTTTCTTTAACAAATGGTGATGGCAGAACTGGTAAACCATTTGCAGAAAACTGAAACAGGATCCATATCTCACACTGAGCACAAAAACTAACTCAAAATGGATCCAAGACCTGAATGTTAAAGCTGAAATGATAAAGTTCCTGGAAGATACTACAGGAACAAAACTAGGGGACCTGATTTTCAGTGTAGTAATGCATGAACAACAGAAGATAATTTAGATGACTGAGACCTCCTAAAAATGAAATATTTATGCTTATCAAAAGTCTTTACCTACAGGCTGGCAGCACCCTATCCATCAAGGGTCTAATCGCTAAAATATATAGAAAACTTCAACAACTTAACAACAAAATTAAAAACAAATGGGCAAAGGACACAAACTGACACTTCACCAAAGAGGATATTCTTACAGCCAAGAGATACATGAAAAAAAATGCTCATGATCATTAGCTATTAGAGAGATGCAAATCAAAACTACAGTGAGATACCATCTCACCCCTATAAAACTAGCACTGATCAAAAACAGAAAACAAATGCTAGTGAGGCTATGGGGAGATTGGAACTCTTATACACTGCTGGTGAGACTGTAAAATGGTACTACCACTATGAAAAACTGTATGGGACTTCCTCAAAAAGCTAGAAATACTTTATGATCTAACAACCTCACTCCCAGTTATATATCCAAGAGATACAAGAGTAGTGACACAAATAGACATATGCACACAAATGTTCATTGTAGCATTATTCACAATAGCAAAAAGATGGAAACAACCTAAGAATCCATCAACAGATGAATGGATAAATTATGGTACATTCATATAGTAGAATACTACACAAGTATAAAGAATAGTAAAGGAGTCCACAAAACATAACATGGATGAATCTGGAGGACATTATACTGTGTGAAATGAGTCAATCACAAAAGGACAAATACTGTATAGTCTTAATAACTGTTATAACAAGTTAGGAATAGATACACACATATAAAGAAATGTCATTTGGTGGTTACTGGAGGAGGAATCACTTTCTAGTAGGCACTTGTTATTTTTGGTAATGGGAAAGACACCAAATAAAGGCAAAGTCCATACAACTTGACCATTTAAATGAAGACACTAAGAAGTACACAGTAAAAAGAGACTTTGGTAAATGCTATATAACACATTCAATTTTACAGTACATATATATGTCTCTAGGAAGACATATGTGAGTGTGTCACATGTAGGTATAGATGTTTCTACAGGTGTATGTAAATTCTTGTTTGTGTGTGCTGCATATATAGATACAGTAAAGCGCATGGGGGGCACAGTTACGGGAGACTTCCTAGACATCTCCAGACATAACTAGGTAACTGCTTAGGACCATAGTCTCATGGGATTTTCTAGTCAGTTGACATAACACAGTTCATAAAGTTAATGCTCTACACCTTATCTTGGTGAGTAGCATCTGGGATCTTAAAAGCTTGTGAGCGGCCAACTAAAATACAGGTATTGGTCTGTACGTGTCTGAAGTAAAAGAGAATGAAAGAGCCCAAAGACTCAGGGAAGAAACTAGTCTCTAGGACTAATAGCCCATGTGAACCACAGCCTCTTCTAACCTGAGACTACATCTGTATAATGCCTGGTACCACTACCAGTTGTACTGACCAGAACACAATAGAAGGTCCTGGTTAGAATGGGAGAAAAACATAGAACAAAACTCAAATTCATAAAAAAGACCAGAGTAACTGGACTGATCGAGATTTGGAGGAACCCTTGAGACTATCGCCCTAAGATACCCTTTTCACCTAGAACTGACCACTCCTGGAAATCACCTTTTAGCCAAACAACAGATTGGATTATAGAATAAACAATATCGCCTGTGAGTGATTTGTCCCTTAAACAGTTAACTATATGAGAACAAACAGTCAATATTTACCCAAAAGCAAAAAATGAGAAGGCAAGGAGGGGAAGAGAAGCTAGATCAATGGAAACAGAATGGAAATGAGAATGCTGACATACTGTGTATATTATAACAACATCACAGAACAATTGGTATAAAATTGTTAAGTGGGAACATAATTCACTCTGTAAACTTTTACCTAAAAAACAATATAATACAGAAAAGGGAAAATGTTAACACATTGTGCTAAATGTCTAAAAAAACCCCTATGTACCACATCCACAACCAATCATGGGATGGCACAGGACCAGCAGTGTTTAGTTCCATTATGCAGGAGGTTGTGAGGAGTTGGGGGCCTGGCCAGCAACATCCAACAGCTACAAAGTTGTTCAAATCACTAATTCCTTAAGGAGGCCTGGTAATAAACAAAAATGGACATACTTCACATAGTGGCTTCTAATGTAAACATAAATTTGTTACATTTAGTTTGGGATTTTAGATTAAGAATACAGTAACATTCTTAACTCAGCATCTAAAATACAGATGCTTTCTAAATGAAAGCATTTTAAGTAAAACATACTTATTGTAAGGCTGGTGGTTCAAACCTACCAGCCACTCTTCGGAAGGAATATTGGGCAATCTACTTCCGTCGTGATGCCACCACGGAAACCCAAGGAGTGGTAGCTGTGGTTCTGATCCAACTTGACAGTAGTGAGTTTGGTTTTTTTGGTTTTAATCAGTATTTCACAAAATCAAAATAATGATTAATTTGTCATCATAGATTATGGTAAACTCTCTGCATGGATATATATTCATAAGAATTAAACTAGCATATTCTGTGTTCTACGTGTTCTAGTGTTGTAATTTTACACTAGTTTTGTGTAATGACTAATCCTGTTGATTAAATACTGAGTTTTATATTTTCACCAATACCACAGCCTAGTATAAAAAGATGTTCTCAGTTGTTTCTTTCTTTTTTTTTTTTTTTCCACCCCCTTAAGGGACTTTTAAAAGCTGAAGAGCACAGTTGGTCCCTTGCAGAACTGGTCCATGCAGTAGTTCTACTCACACACTATCATTCTCTTGCCTCATTTACCTTTGGCTGTGGAATCAGTCCAGAAATTCATTGTGATGGTGGCCACACGTTCAGACCTCCTTCTGTTAGTAACTACTGCATCTGTGACATTACAAATGGCAATCATAATGTGGATGAGATGCAGGTCAATTCAGCAGGAAATGTTTCAGTAAGTATCTATTATATGTTACAGGATCATCATAAGAATAATTGATGTTATGTTGTTTCTTCATTTGGCTTCTTAGAAAATCCACCCAGTTGAGTTCATAGAGCAATTAGGCCCATACCTACTCATTCAGCAAGTATTTATTGGCTGCCTCCAAATGGCCAGCACTAGTGTAATGCTAGGGAACTCTGGTAGTGTTGTGCCTAAGGCAGTTGACTGCTAACCAGAAGGCTGGCAGTTCAAACCCACCAGCCACTCCTCGGAAGGAGGGTTGGGCAATCTACTTTCGTAGTGATACCGCCTTGGAAACTCAAGGAGGGGTCGCTATCAGTCGGTCCGACTTGAGGGCCAATAACAACAACAGGGTAATGCTAAGGGATAGACACAATTATAAGACCCTCTGTTGTTGTTGTTATGTGCCGTCGAGTTGGCCCCGACTCATAGCGACCCCTCCTTGGTTTCCGAGGCAGTATCACTACGGAAGTAGGATTGCCCAACCTTCCTTCCGAGGAGTGGCTGGTGGGTTTGAACCGCCAGCCTTCTGGTTAGCAGGCAAGTGTCTTAGCCACTATGCTACCAGAGCTCCCTCTAGGAGGTTAAATTCCAGTGACTTTAGAATTGAGAGCCACCAGCATGTGCCCCATCAAAGCTAGCTAGTATTGAATGGCTACAGAAGTGAGATGAGAAGAAGCGGAGAACATTTCCTTCTTCCCTCTTGAGTTAGTGACAGGTCCTTGAGACTTCCTGGTGCTGATCACATCCTCTTCTTACATTTTGCACACACACCAAAAAAACAGGTGGATATCTTAGTTCATCTTTTAGAAGATTTAATCAGCTTTGATAGGGAAGTTTCTGTCTTTAAATTTTTTTTTTCATGTTTAATGTTGTATAAATATAAAAAGTGATATCCAGTAAATGTAAAATTTGTCAAAATGCTTTTGCCTCTACTGTTTCTCTTCTCTTTTATATTTTTCCAGAAAAAAAATTTTCAGAAAAAGAAAATTGATAAATTTCATCCAGTGTCTGACATATGTAATTGTATTTTCTCTTCAGGTAAGTGATTCCTTCTTTGAGGTAGAAGCCCTTATGGAAAAAATGAAGCAGTTACAGGAATGCCGAGATGAAGAAGTAGCGAGTCAGGAAGAGAAGGCTTCACGTTTTGAAATAGAAAAAAGAGAAAGTATGTGTGTCTTCTCTTCAGGTAAGAGCAACGATTACGTGTCGTCGTTAACTGCTGCTGAGTTGGCTCTGACTCACAGCGACCCTGTGTCCAACAAAATGAAACACTGCCCACTCCTGAACATCCTCACAGTCTTTGCTGTGCTTGAGCCCAGCGTTGAAGCCACTGTGTCAGTCCATCTCATTGAGTGTCTTCCCCTTTTTCGCTGACCCTCTTCTTTACCAAGTATGATATTCTCCTCCAGGGAATGGTCTCTTTTGACAACATGACCATAGTAGATGAGACGAAGTCTGGCCATTCTCCTTTCCCAGGAGCATTCCGGCTGCACTTCTTCCAGGACTGATTTCTTCATTCTTCTGGCAGTGCGTGGTATTTTCAGCACTCTTTGCCAACACCACAGTTCAAAGGCACCAACTCTTCTTCATTCTTCTTTCTTCATTGTCCAGTTTTCACATGCATATGAAGAAACTGAAAATACCATGGGTTAGGTCAGGGCACACCTTAGTCTTCAAAGAGATATCTTTGCTTCTTACCACTTCAAAGAGCTTGTGTGCAGCAGATTTGCCCAGTGCCCAGTTTGATTTCTTAACTGCTGCTTCCATGAGTGTTGACTGGGATCCAAGTAAAATGAAATCTCTGACAACTTCAGTTTTTTCTTCATTTATTGTGATGTTGCTTATTGGTCCATTTGTGAGGATTTTTGTTTTCCTTTGTTGAGGTGTAATCCATACTAAAGACCTGAGTCAAGCTCCATCAGCATATGGAGGTCCTCACAGCTTTACTCCATCCACATCATTAAGGTCAATTCTACTTTGAGGCAGTAGCTCTTCTCTAGTCGTATTTTGAATGCCTTCCAACCTGATGCTCATCTTCTGGCACTAGATCAGACAGTGTTTCAAGGCTATTCATAAAGATTTCCATTAATATATCAGACAGTGTTTCATTGCTATTCATAAGGTTGTCACTGGCCAGTTTTTTCAGATGTGGATGGCCCTGTCCTTCTTCCCAGTCTGTTTTAGTCTGGGAGCTCCATTGAAACCTGTCCACCATGGGTGACCCATGGATATTTCAGAATATCACCATGGCATAGCCTCCAGGCTCACAGAAACACACAAGCCATCAAATATGTATGACAAACTGACAGTTGAGTTGTGGAATGATTACATGTTCATTATAATTTCTATTGCTTATAAAAAGGAAGCTATCTTTTCTGTTTAGAGAATTTAGACAAGTTTTAAAACATTCATCCAAATATGCCTTTCCTTTTAGAGAGGCTATTGGATAGGTATTCCTATATACAAATAATTGTATAGCTGGCAGCTATTTCAGTATAGTGCCTGTAAAGATTAACAATAGCTGCAAACTCCCCAGGCCTACTCAGCCCTGTGTTTGGGAAATTTGCTCCTTCTCTAGTTTTTTTTTTCCTTGCATTTTGAACTGTTGTTGTTATTTACCATCAAGTCGGACCCAACTCATAGCGACCCCTCCTTGGGTTTCTGAGGCAGTTACCACTACGGAAATAGATTGCTCAGCCTTCCTTCTGAGGAGTGGCTGGTGGGTTTGAACTGCCAGCCTTCTGGTTAGCAGTCAAGTGCTTTAGGCACTATGCTACCAGACTCTGATATAGTTCAGTGCCATCTCTTTTCAACCCATATCAACCTATTGCCATTCAGAAACCAATAGTATTAGAAAAGTGCTAGGAAACAGGGCCCAGACCACCAAAGGGATGTTACCAGCCACAACCCATGGAAGGTCAGTTAAGTAAATAATTTCCCTTATGTCTTGACTGTTTCTTTGGACTTTTATTTATGTGCCAAAAATAATTCTGCTTCAACTATTATATAGAAACTTGTGCTTCTCTCTTCAAAATTTTTTCCTGGTTTTAAGGTGTTTAATACTTTTTCTAAACAAAGTTTTTCAGATAAAATATGTATGCTTTCAATGTTGTACATCTGTGACAAACCTGAAGTACCAAATATGGTTTCACTAGTCACTCTTTAAGAATACCTATTTTGAAATTTAATGTAATAGAAGAGTTAAACTAGAATACTGGTCAGGTTTTGCCACTGCCAGTCTTTAGAAGACATTTGTCCAAGCTACACTATTATGTCATCAGGAGAAAAAGGATGTTGTAGTAACAACAGCACTAGGCTAAAGTGAGGACATTTGAGTTCTGGGACTAAAAGCATCTCTAATAAGCTTTATGAACTTTAGTAAGTCACAAGCTCTCCTCCCCCCATTTTCCCCTCTTCTTTAAAATGAGGAATTTGAATTCCTAAAAGTGCTAAGATTCCTTCCTGCTTTAAAATTCTGTGGTTCTATGAAAAGGAGCTACTTATTAAACAACCAGCAAAACCTACATTCTTTATGTTTTAGCCTTTATCTATATGTAGGCTACAAGAGTTAACACAGACACCAAGCAATTTAAAGAAGAAAAAATTATGATCTCAAATGTATTTTGACAGTAATAGAATGGGAGAAACTATATAAATGTTAAAAGAACTAAGTTTCTTAATAGTAAAGAAAACATCAAATATATATAAATGGAGAATTGGGTATTAGCTTGTTTTCCTCCATGAAAAGGTTTTGGTTTTGTATCCACATCTGAAAATACAGAGTTGTCATATAATACTATGTTGTTGTTGTTGTTAAGTGCCGTCGAGTCGCTTCCGACTCATAGCGACCCCATGCACAGCAGAACGAAACACTGCCCGATCCTGCACCAGCCCCACAATCCCTGCTATACTTGAGCCCATCATTGCAGCCAC